ATCAGGAATGATGAAATCCGAAGAAGAATGGAGGTAGCAGCAGCTCTGGATTTCATTAGAAAATGGTTTGGCCATATAACACGGATGTCAGTAAACAGTATACCACAGCAAGCAGTGACGTTAAGACCAGACGAGAAGCGAAGAAGAGACTAACCATGCAAACGGAGGGAATAACAGATACCCATTTACAAAGTGAACAAATGGGCTCTTCCTGTAAATTATACTTCGTCTCGACACCGCAAGGTACCAGAGGATCAAGATAAGATGTTGAATTGAGAATCGACATGACAGCACTCAGGACACTGCCATAAGTGATCAGTTCCCATCTTCAGCAGCAATCAAAGAGTTCCAATTCCAATGGTACCAGTAACCATCTGATTGTATATCCGTCTCATCCTTCCCCTGAGTGTTGAGCGTTGGCCAGATCCCCTAGTAACTCCTCATAGCGCCATTCTCCTTCGACTGTAATGATCTATATGCGCCTCTGCACTGTTTACTCACTCCCAATTGGCCCTCACAATATTTAACTTGTCATACATCAACTCACCAAGTGGTACGGAGCCACCCAGTCTATCTGCCTGCTCATTTCCCAACACACCGGCATAACCTGGAGAAAATTTCTAACTACCCAGGACCTCTGAAGAGATGCTTGTCACTCTGCACAAAGCATGCCTGTTTTCACCTTTTTCAACATGCTCTCTTAGTTACAATGACAGCATGTGTGTAGAACTGATTCTCAAGCTAGCAGAAGGCAGCAGAGACTGCCTCCTCCATTCTCAAACTAGACTTGATATCATATGGAAGGCTTCGCTGCACTAGGTGACGTCCATTCGCCTTTGCTATGAAACCCCATGCACGTTATCTGCCTCAACAGAGAGCCATCTGTATAGATAATCACATAACTTGGGCGGTAATTGTCAAGAATCATTTGTTGAACTTCTGATTCTGCAGCTGGCCAGTCCCTGCACTCATGACCTAACTTGATTAGAACCCTACACAAGTCTGAAACTTGTTCGGACCTCCTGACCCACTCCTCTCCTTGCTCAAAATTATCAAGCCTGCACACATGCCTGTTTGTGTCTTCAAGATCTTCCTCTTTTTAGTCTGTGACCCTTAGCTCTACCCAGGGCTTCATACAGAAGGTGCTTTTTGTCTGCAGCTACTCTGAGATATGATTTTGCCTGCTTAACTTTGAGCCTATATTCAATACAATAGATTGCAGTGCAATGAGATGAGATGATGGATGCTTAGGAGAAAAGAAAAAATCAAGTCTCTAAACTTAATTAGCAATAACATATTTAATGAATAAAAATTAACAAACATGAATAAATCACCAAAATTTCAAGCAAGATTAAAATGTGTCACAAAGACATTTAACAGGGGAAAAAAACAAGACATTTTATACTTGAAAAAATACAGATGTGGTGTTTGAAATACAGAAAAAGACATTCTTTTGTCAATTCAGTTATGATGTTTTCAGACATGTGTGTCAATGATTATTGTTACATGGATAGTGACGGTACAATGTGTTTTTCCCAGTGTCTCCATTTGATACTGTGGTAAAGATAGTTCTGTCAATGGTGACCAATAAAGCTCTCTGACAGTGGGCTGCTTTTACATCACCCAATTTTAGGCTGGGCCAACCTGGCAGACCTAACAATTTGCAGCTTGCACTATATGCCTGAAAGCCACCACAGTGTAGCAGATCAAAAGATCATGCGTATTTTTTTAAAAACAACCTAGCCTTCAAGTCGATCCAACCCTAAACAGGTACCAGGTAAAGTCCTTGGAAGGAAAGGCAGCCAGCAGGATGCTTGACCATATAACACATCAAGTGCCTATTAATCTATAAAACATCTATCTAGCCCTATATTCCCAATTCGTCTAAAGGCGTGGAAACTGGTCTTTGACTTTACGACACATGCAATACTTTCTTTTAAAAAAGTAAAGGTCCGTTTTCTGTGCCTTTAGGCGTATAGGGCTAGACCTATATTTTTATAGACTAATCGGCACAAGATGGGTGATGTGGTCAGCATCACGCCAGCCGCCTTCACTTTCCATGAAATACTTTTAAATGCACACATGGAAACAGGAAACATCCAAAGGACTGCAGATTATGGTACTCATTGTAACGAGTGCAAGCTACAATTTTGCATGCAATACCCACAATCTGGCAAACAAATTAGACAAATATATTTACCTATACCTGCCATAAATAAACAGCATCATTTCTCGGAAGCTGAAATATTTTGGTCATATCAAGCGCCATGACGGATTGGAAAAAATTATAGCAGAAGGCATGGTACCAGGAAGGAGGGGCAGGGGCCGACCAACACGAAGATGGGCACATGATATAAGTGACTCCTTGAGTGTGAAAGTGCATGAAACGGCAGTACTGGCGAGAGACCGAGTTTCTTTCAGGCAGACTGTGATGAGAGCGATGTTCTGCAAAGGACCTGCTACATGATGATACCTGCCATATTAGTCGACTCCTAAGTTTTATAATAACTGTAAGCTTAAAAAAGCCACTTATACGCCACAATTTATGGTAAGTGGGATTTGACATCATAAGGTATAAATATTTATCGCTCATGAAATAATCTTGACATAACATCATCAGTACACCTTAACTCAGAAGTATCAATGACCTTATTTAACTCTCTGAGTCCCAAGGAACGCAGCATACGTTTATAGGTTCCTACCTAGAGGCCCAGTGGACGCAAGATGCGCTGATTTTACGTTACTCTTGACTACCCCTTGGGCCTCTGATGCTAAACCCCCTGGGACTCAAAGAGTTAAAGATTTACATGCAAATTGCAATTTCAAGAGAACACAGAAAATGAAGTGTATTATCACAGAATAATCAGGCATGGTTAGTGTGCTAGCCTACCAACACGGTCAGCTGGGGGTCAGTCCCTGAAAGTGACATCGGTTATTCTGACCAATACAGCTCAGAGGTCAATGCAATCTCATAAAATACATTTTTGTGTCTCTGACCAGCACAACTCAGAAGTCAACTCAAATTCATAAAAAAATCTTTCTATGACAAGTGCAGCTCAGAAGTCAACTCAGTCGCATTGACAAATCTTTCTATGACAAGTACAGCTTAGAAGTCAACTTATTCTCATTAAAATATCTTTCTACGACAAGTACATCCCAGAAGTCAACTCAATTTCATTAAAAACTCTTTCTGTGACAAGTACAGCTCAAAATCAACCTAATCTCATTGACTAGTAGGTCAACCCAACCTCAAAACAAATTGTTTAACCCACCAGTATATTTCAGAGATAAACATAATAATTTTTTTTTTACCCAAGTCGGGAGAAACTCAGCAAACTTGAAAATGCAGTTCTCTCCGTTGGGTTCTTGGGACCCACTGTATCGGAGAAACAAACATCAGACCTAATGCCTCTTTAACAAGCATGTTGACAAAAGCAAATAACAATTAAAAAGGGATTTGCTGACACTATATTTGTCAGGCCACAGGCCAACATGTGCAGATATCACAGCCTAGCTTTAAACCACAACACAACATACCGACCGCCTTTTCAAGAGCGAACCCAGAAGGAGATGAAGAAAATGTAGATCCTGCTGGGGGGGGGGGGGGTGTGGTATGTTGTTGGGTGTCCAGTGTCTTTCCTCATCACCTTGTCATTCTGACACTGACAGGTTACACTGCAAGTGGTAATCTTAGTTTCAGCTTCATAGCAAATGGGTCACCCCACAGTTCTGCTCCTGTGCCAATGAAAAACGCAGAATGTTTATCACAGTCCCTTGTGGAAAGACCCACAGACTGCTGTCTCAGCATATACACACGCATTAAAAGCATACGCTAGCCATCCAAAGTGCTAACACAAACAGCCCAACATTAGGAATGCAGTTCATCATCGACGGTAGCAGAAGTTACTAACAGATCAGCAGTTGAACACGTGATCAATTTTAATCACATAAGGGTACCACCAATATTGCGACAACTGACCACGTGCCATTTTCTGAATCTAATATTCACAACACCACGTTGGTCAGTCAAAAAACACTCCAAATGAAATCTGCAGCTCACAGTGTCGCGCCATGCACTCAACTCAGTAGCTGGGCGACGGAACTATTACCTTTCAGTCTACAAATGGAGCAAATATACAATGGCCACGGCCTGGCAGAAGCTAGGCCAGCCTCCAGAGCTCTCCTAATGTCTTCAATTCTTCTTCTCAGCATTCACAGGCTGGAAACTCCAGTGGAAAGTTCTGAGTTTTTTGGGGTCCATTTCTAGACTTAGTCTTGTTCCAGAACTTGACTTATGCATGCACATCCTTTTTTCAGATCTGGCTTATTTTATATGATGTGCAGACTGTTGGTTCCTCGCCTCTCAGGCAGAGGCACTATGACTTCAAAAGAAACAGCCCTATTTAGTGCCTTTTACAAAATGCTTGTTAGGGAAAATTTGGTCTATTTTGTTCCACAAATTTGCCACCATAGGACTGAACCCCAGCCCTCCACTGTAGGTAGTAAATTCACCAACAGCTAGACTACCATGACCCCAAAGGGAACTCATGGTCAACCATAACAACACCCACACGCATACACAAAGAAGAACTATCTAAAATCATACACTGTTATCACAGAATGCTTCAAGAGAGAAGACACAGGAGAACAAAATGGGCTTCACTGAATCATGTTTTCTGAAGGTCATGGGTTCATTTCATAGTGCCGCCATTCAGTTCACCAGTGCAGTTCTTACAAAGAACCCTGGGGATCATTGTCAGAGCTCCGGAGGTCGTGCTCTGTGCAGCGCTCTCAGCATGCAGCTAGCTGTTCTGCGGAGAGAGAATCAGCCATATTTATCAAAAGATAAATCCAATCTGGCAATAAAAGCATTGAAATTTCTTTTGTTATTAAAAACAAAAATTTTTTTTAAAGAAAACAGATTTGGAAAAATGTTAACAATGGCAATGTATTGAAGTTGCGACATTAAATTAACACTGATATTAAATTAACGGTAAAATTTAACACTGAACAGGACTAATGAGATTAGCTAGAACATCTCTCTTGCTAGCGGCCTCTGGCTGGTAATGATTACACAATGCCCGCAGCTCTTTCTCCGACTTGTTGATGTCTGGGTTCGGATCCATGTCTGTGAAGTCCATGAACTCCTCATCATCCTCACATTCCTCTTGCAGCAGGAAGCAGTGAAGAACGCAGCAAGCAACGATGGTGACCGGTATATCTGACTCCCTCTCCATGTCCAGAAACTTCAGGCGCTGGAACCTCCCTTGCAGGAGCTGTAGGGAGAGTTTGACGGCTAGCAGTGCATTATGATGCCTTTCATTAAACTCCCTCTGTGACGGTGTCAGCCGGCGACAGTCACCGGGATAGGGCGTCAACATAAAAGGCTCCAAGGGGTATCCTGAGTCTCCGACCAGATGCAGATCAGCAGGAAGAGGATCGTGGAGAAGCTTGTCTCGCAAGTCACAGGACCTGTAGACTGTTTCATCATCCACCGAGCCTGGGTTGCCACAGTGGACGTCCAGAAACATCAGTTTGGCATCACAAACTGCCTGCATGTGTATGCTAAGGTAGTTTTGGTTGTTGCGGTAGGCATGCGCCAGGCGGGACTTCTGCTTGATTGGAAAGTGGATACCATCAATGGCTCCTACAACTCCTGGCATACCAGTTTCTTGCTCAAACTCTTGAGCTATACTGCGAAGTCCTATCTGATCCGAAGGCCACTTGATGTAGTCGCTACGCATCTCCGTGAGTACCTGTCACAGATAAAGCACACAAAGAGTTTAAGATGGTTACAAGTCATTATTTTATTTACCATTCTTGTTCCATGAGCTAAGCTCCCAGATATGCTAGCCTCAAATGGACACATTGCTGGGAAGAAACAGAGACCACAATGAAACTGACCACATCACCCGTCGAGTGCCGCTTGATCTACAATAATATGAGTCTAGTCGCATTTTCCCAATGTTCCTCATGTGGGTTTCAGTGCCCCATTTGGGACTTAAGAGAGGGGGGGGGGGGGGTGGAAAGTACAGACCAACTGGTAATTTAAAAAAAGTTAGACTAATTAAGGATGTAGTCTGTGAAGTTGAAGTGCATCTGTCTAAAGGCGAGGAACCAACAGTCTGCATACAAATAAGCCACACAGCAAAACAGATGTGCATGTAAAACTCAAGTCCTGGATAAAGACCAAAGTCTAGAAGTGGATGAACAACCAGAACTTTCTGCTGGAGGTTCCAGCCGCTGAACACATACATCAGGACTAGCTTTGTATAGCTCTTGAGAACTCTCTCACCTCAACTGACAATATTCTTCCTCATGTAACAGGGAGCTTTTGCATGGACTATTCTACAATAAGCAAACATGAGTAATTTGAAAGACATGAAGGAATCAATGTGGGAGGATATATCATAAACAGTATACAATATGTGGACGGTACAGTGTTGACTGCAGACGATGAACAGGACCTGCAGTGTTTCGTGGATGTAGTAATTGTTCACGGCAAGCAACTAGGCTTAGAGTTCAACTGCAGGAAATAAATGATGGTCATCACCATGAAGAAAAACACCAGTGTAAAATAGAAGCAAATGGCAAAACTCTTAAACATGTGAACTGACAAAACTATCTCCAAACTGTCATAACATCTGATGTAAGATGCCTTGCAGAAATTAGAATAAGATTTGCCAATGCTAGAATGACCTTTAGCAAGATGCAAAAGGCACTCACCAATATGAAAATGTCAATCCCACATAGAAAAAAAAATATTAAAGTGCTACATAGAACATGTATTGTCCTATGTATGTGAAACATGGAAAATATGTAGACAATCTATTTACTCACTCACGAGATGTGATATTTTAGAAGAAATCCAAAGAATATCAAAGAATGATAGAAAAACACATGAGGCAGTTCTCTGAGTGCTAAACTAACCAAGAAACATATCATAACATTTGAATTTGTTAGAAAACTGAACAAATTTTAAAGCAATATTCTCAAATATGGATATTAACTGCTCTTGTGGCTGCAAAACCATGGTAAGTGAAGATTTTTGAGGTAAAATTTGTGTTTATAAATTTAACACCTGCTGAATTCTTTTTTCTACCAACTATGACAGTATGAAACAAAAAGATAAAAAATTCAAAATGTAATTTCATTCTTCTTTGAAAAAAAATATATATACTTTTATAGGTATTAGAAATATATTACATTCTCAGTTGCTTTTTTTTCCACACCACCCCCCTGCCATTTTTGTAAAGGGAAATTATTGTGAGCCTAGTCTCAAAATTCATAAGCCTTAAAAAGTTGGAAAAAAACAACCTTTCTAAGAAAGTTAATGACATATTCTGGCAGTGACAATTGCTATAAGCAATGCAGCCGTTACCTGGCAAAAGTTCTTAAGTGTCAAATACAGCGATCCCTTGGACATGCAGAACTTGTCCGAGGCAACGATGTAGCTGGTCTTATTGCCCAGCAGAAACAGAGAGGCCAGGACTTTTTGCTCCAGGGTTTGCACTCTTCCATTCATCTTGGGGTGAGAACCAATTTTGTCCATCAGCTCCTGTTGCAAATGGAAACATAAATGATAAGAGATGTCTTCAATACTGCGTAATTATTTTAACCATTTCAGTTCCAGGTAGTTTCAAAGTAGAAACCCAATCTGGCACACTAATCACAGTGACAAAAGCATCATCAGTTCTTGACTTTCAGTGACACAGCAATGTGCTGCATTCAAGATATTTCACCAGATTTCTTTTGCATACCCAGACCAAATATGAAATAAGTAATAAAACATCATATGTTGCGATAATGCACATAGACATAAGCTGCACCAACATGGTGCATTGCTTGTGACAGGTGTAGAAAAAAGCTAAATTTCACTTTTATTTTGTAAATGATTTGTTGAAATTATGAATGGTGTCTTAACAGAGCAACAATGCACAAAACAAGACTCTTAATGTCTTAACACACTTTTCATGTTTATGACTGGGGTCCTAATGGAGCAATGATGCACAAAACAAGACTCTTAATGTTTTAAGATGGAACTATAAGAAAGCCAACTGGGGCCTATACAGACACAGAACAAGTATGCTGTTGTCTGCTATTAGGGTTGAAAATAGGGACATCAATGCTACAGTACAAGATTTCGGCTCTACTGGCAAATCCGGACGAAGAATAAACAGCCTTGGACGACTTAGTCAGAGTTCTCTCCCTTGGCCGCACTCCAAACAGTGATCGGAAAACAAACGAAACAAACGACACACTTACCTATCATCCTGCGGTTGCGTGTAGGGCTGCGTACGGTTGCGTGAGGCATCGTGGCATCATCATATGGTTGCGTGCAGGGTTGCGTACGGTTGCGTGAGGCATTGTGAATGGTTGTGTAGTCATCATCATGCGGTTGTTGGATTAGAGTTAGGGGTAGGGTTAGGGTTAGGGGTAGGGTTAGGGGTAGGGTTAGGGGTAGGGTTAGGGTTAGGGTTAGGGTTAGGGGGTAGGGTTAGGGTTACGGGGTAGGGTTAGGGTTAGGGGTAGGGTTAGGGTTAGGGGTAGGGTTAGATGTTACAATTTTGACGTAGGGTTTCGAAATAGTGGCCGACAATCTGATGTTTGTGGGCGTGGCGCCACTGAAATTCTGCTAAATATGACGCACATAGTGTGCGGCTGGTGCCCAATCGTTGGCGAATGGTGCGTTTCACCAGCATCCAGAGGCCCTACCCCTACCCCTAACCCTAACCCTACCCCTAACCCTACCCCTAACTCTAATCCAACAACCGCATGATGATGACTAAACAACCATTCACAATGCGAGGTACACGGTTGCTTGTTCCTTATCAGACTATGCTCAGCTAGCCACCGCAACCACGCATACTTAATTGTCATTATGGCATACAGGTCTGCAGGAGTTACGTCCGTGGCAACTAAGTCGTGCGTCGGAATAACGATGTTAGTTATGTGAGTGCATCTAACTTCCATGTTGCTTGTGTCGTTTGTTTCGTTGTGGCTTTTCCGATCACTGTTTGGAGTGTGGCCACGGGAGAGAACTCTGACTAAGTCGTCCAAGGCTGTTTATTCTTCGTCCGGATTTGCCAGTAGAGCCAAGATTTCAATAGAAGTATTCCGCAGGCTACTGAAGAAGAACTCCCAGAGGTTGTCGACACAACTCCAGACCTTACTGGTCCAGCACACTCCAGGAATGTCAGGAAACAATGAACCAGGTTAGAAAGGATGCAGAATCCAAACCTTCCCCTGACAACCACATCAAATGGAAAAAGGCTATAGCAGTGTTCCAGGGAACTAAACTTCAAGAAAAACAGAAAAGTTCTAAACATTGAGAAAGATGGCAAGCAACTCTGGAGATTAGTTAAACCACTAAATAAAGAAAGTTTCTCTCCCAGACAAACAATTACATCTTCAGAGGAAAACAAGCTGCATATTTGTTTGCCAGAACATATAAAATTAAAAGCAACCTGACCCTTATGAGAACTTCAAAGTTCTATCAGGCGTAAAAACTCTCATCAGGCTCAAAGTTAAAAAAGTCTGCAGGTCCAAATCAAATCAGCAATGAAATGCTGATCAATATGTGCTCAGCTACTAAAGTAAAGCTGAGCGAAATTTTCAGCCGGGAGAAAGGATTGGCGCCTCAAACACTGACAGAAGCCATCACAATACCCATACTAAAAAAGGAACAGTTAAGACACAGGCTTCGAGCTTTTGACCAATCAGTCTCACAAGCTGTGTAGGAAAGACATAGGTCGACTTCAAACTAGCTTTCAACAAAGTGTGGAAAGATGGCCTCACTACAGAACTAAAAAAACTGAAGAGAAGTGGAATCCAAGGAAACATGCTGAGATGGATTCAATCCATGCATATAGTGAATGGACAGATGGTCAAACAGATGGGTGTGCAAGCAAGGCAGATAGTGAATGGACAGATAGTCAGTCAAATGGATGTGGAAGCGTGACTTGACAGATAGTCAGTCAAATGGGTGTGGAAGCGTGACTTGACAGATAGTCAGTCAGATGGATGTGCAAGCAAGGCAGATAGTGAATGGACAGATAGTCAGTCAAATGGATGTGGAAGCGTGACTTGACAGATAGTCAGTCAGATGGGTGTGGAAGCGTGACTTGACAGATAGTCAGTCAGATGGGTGTGGAAGCAAGGCAGATAGTGAATGGACAGATGGTCAGTCAAATGGATGTGGAAGGGTGACTTGACAGATAGTCAGTCAGATGGGTGTGGAAGCAAGGCAGATAGTGAATGGACAGATAGTCAGTCAAATGGATGTGGAAGCGTGACTTGACAGATAGTCAGTCAGATGGGTGTGGAAGCAAGGCAGATAGTGAATGGACAGATGGTCAGTCAGATGGGTGTGGAAGCAAGGCAGATAGTGAATGGACAGATGGTCAGTCAGATGGGTGTGGAAGCAAGGCAGATAGTGAATGGACAGATGGTCAGTCAGATGAATGTGTAAGCGTGACTTGACAGATGGTCAGTCAGATGGGTGTGGAAGCGTGACTTGACAGATAGTCAGTCAGATGGGTGTGCAAGCAAGGCAGATAGTGAATGGACAGATGGTCAGTCAGATGGGTGTGGAAGCGTGACTTGACAGATGGTTAGTCAAATGGATGTGGAAGCGTGACTTGACAGATAGTCAGTCAGATGGGTGTGGAAGCAAGGCAGATAGTGAATGGACAGATGGTCAGTCAGATGGATGTGGAAGCAAGGCAGATAGTGAATGGACAGATAAATATGTAAGCAATGCAAAATCTGAATTAATAGATTGAATGGACAGATGAATATGCAAGAAAGGTACATAGGAAATTTACAGATTGCTAAGCAAATAAATGGGAACCAGGGTAGCACAAAAGCTGAAATGCTTTTGCAGTGGTCAAAAGTTGAAATCCTCTCTTACGACATCCCCTCCCTCATTTTTTCCACCTCATGAAATTTGTTTCCATTGATTTAGGATGATCCACCCTAAAATATATGCCAGGGATTTGCAAGGAAGTAAAGGCACCGGACATAATTTTGACCACATCACCCATCGAGTGCTAAGATACCATTTATGTAATATATCGTTGAGTCAAATTGGATCCTTTCAGTACTTCAGTTTTAATTCACCCTAAATAAACAAAGGTAGCTGTATATAGCAATGGTTATGGTTAGCCTTAGGGTTTAGGTTAGGATTAGCAACATACAAATTATGTTAAGAAAAGTTATATAAACTGCAAAATAAAACATCCTGATGTCACATGACGTGTTTGGACTATCTCGGGAACTGCTGGATTTCCTCTGTTTGGGGTGAATTTAAATTGAAGTACCATAATTTTTTTTTTTAAGTGATGTAATTTGGTGAGAGATGAATTATTGCTGACACCTTTCCATCTTTGCAGACAAAAGTGGCCTATGGTGCTTTAGGGTGGCAAAGTAATCAGTGCCCTTGGCAATATCTTCTCTCCATAGCACAAAGCCCAGGCACAATTGTCGAGACCATGTGTTGCCAATGCAGCATGATCCCTCTTTAGGACTACTTAACTCAGGTTGTTGTAGGGGTGACCCTTGCTGGTGGATGTAATGTCCTAAGTTCCTTCCCCAGCTAATAGTAGGGTACTGCTGGGGTGACTGTTTATTAACCCTCATATAATGCTTCAGGTCAAAATGGACGCTAGGCACGGCCACTTCTTTTAGCAATGGCACATTTTTTTGCTTCTGCCAGACGGTGGCTGTTGCATTTTTGCTCCATTTGTAGACTGGAAGGATATAGTTTTGTTGCCCAGCTTCTGAGTTGAGTGCATAGCGTGACACTGTGAGCTGCGGATTTCATTTGAACTGTGATAAACATTTTGTGTGTTTTTTGTTGGCACAGGAGCAGAGCAACTATGGATTGACCCGTTTACAATGAAGCTGAAACTAAGATTACCAGATTACTTCTTCATAGACCAGCTGCCCACCAAGGTCAAGGGCCTAGTCTGCCTTTCCACAATATGAAGTTTTCAGGTTGCATTTCCTCTTCCTTTGATAAGGCTAGTATCCTCCTCTGTTGGCACAACTTGGATGTCAGGTTTGGTACACACCATCCAGCATGTGACATTAACAGAGAACAGGTAGTACTGGCTACTGTTATATGATAGCTGTTATATATGACCACAATCTGATAAAGATGGGACAGATTTATAACGATCTTTCTTCAGTTAACAAAAAGATTACAGGTCAATCCAGGTTGAAACAAAATCAATGACAATCAATTTTTTGAAATACAAAAAAACTTGAAATAAAAATAGTAAAACGTTACCGAAGCAACTATACGGCTCATGCGGTAATTAGACTTGAACATTGGATCAGCATCGTCTGGTTCCGGGATAATGTAACTTGTTTCTTTTTCTTCCGAGTCGTCGTGATCATCGCCACTCTCACTCTCGCCTTCGTCCAACTCATCAGCTTTCAACACCCCTTTGACGGGCTCCTCTGTATACTGGCAGTCGTTCAAGTCAACATCTTCGACAATTCCGTCAACCACTACAGAATACGAGTACGAAGATAAATCCAGATTAATATCCTCGGCGTTAACTATGTATGAATTCGCGTCATCGGGGTTGACCCCTTCGGGTAGGGCGCTGTGAGGAACCTCAACCTGAACTTGATTCCCGTCTGCGTCGACAGCAACGAAAAGTCTCTTTTTAGGTGGGCTGCCTATTCCACCTGAATCAAAATCCGATGTTTGTCGTGGTATAGCTGTTTGACTGTGAACATCGCTAGCTTCGACGGTGTAAGAAGTCGCAGTATATGTAGGTTTCTGAGGGGAAAGCTTCCTTTTCAAAGTTATGTAAGCTTTGGCATCTTCTTCTGTGATTTCCATTTTGAATTTAACGGCGGAAGTTGCTTGCTACATCAACAGCCAAGCAACACAAAAGTAAAAAATAAAAAACGGAACAATTTATAAATAATAACAAAACATCATCATAACCAGGGACTGCTTACCGTCTCAGAGTCAGATGGACAAACTAGAGCGCATACAGAACGCAGCTATGCGGGTCATTGTGGGTTGCACCAGAAACACCCAGTGGTGTGTGTGCAATACATTCTTGGTTTGCCGACTGTTGCAGGTAGGCACAAGGTGCTGCAGACGAAGTCATATCTCAGGGTAGCTGCAGACACAGACCACCCTTTGCACGAAGCTCTGGGTGCAGTTAAGGGCCAGCGGCTGATAAGAAGGAAGTTATGGATGGCTCAGGCAGAAGACACAGACAGATTTGCATCCTTGAGAACATTAGGCGAGGAGAGGAGTAGGTCAAAGTGCCACATGAACAGTCAGATTTGTGTAAGGTCACAATCACACTGAGCCAGGAATGCAGAGACTGGCCAGCAGGTGCCACGGAGATGGAAATTCAGCAATTAATTCAAGATAATGCTCGCTCAGAGGATTTGTTCATTTACACAGACGGTTTAGTGTCAAGAGGCAAAAGAAGTGCTTAGGGCTACTTAGCAAAAATTAATGGTCGACGTTTGGTGCAGGAGAGCCTATCATATGATACCACAACATCCAGCTTAAGAATGGAGGTGGGGGCGGTCACTGCAGCTTTCCGCTGGTTAGAGAACACGACAGACAGACAGACACACACACACACACACACACACACACATCGTGATTTTAACAGACTCAGAAAGCATGCTAAGGAAGAACAGGACAGGCATGTTTCGTCCAGAGTGGCATGCTTCGCTGAGGGGGACACAGGTAAGAAGTATTGTCTTTATTTTTTTACCGGGGACGCCGGTGTGTTGGGAAATCAATAGGTGGACAGACTGGCTGGCTCTGTACAACTTGGTGGAATACTGATACATGATAAGGCAGACGTGGTTGGTGCCTTGTGGGAGAGTGTGTACAGTTCGGAGGAGCAGATGGATCACCACAGTCTGGTGAGATTGATGCAAAAAGGGGGGGGGGGGGTGACGAGAGGTTCTGGCAGATGCTCGAGGCTCAGAGGAAAGGCAAGAAAGACATTTAATCAGAAAGCTACTGGCACCATTAGTATCGGAACACATCGATGGCTGCTGAAGATGAGGAGGGAGCGCTTATGAGAATGCCTCGAGTGCTGTGATGTCGGTTCTTGAATCAAATAAAATCATCATTAGTTTCCACGTTGTGGGGAGGAACAGTTTGCGATTGATGGGCAGCAATGCCTATTTTAATTCTGTGTCGATGTAGATGCTGTTTAATGTCATTAGTCCACTATCTTATAGGACAGCGTCTTGCTTTCTCTTCAGCAGATATTTTCAAGTACAGCGCCTACTGTGGTAGTTGTTCTGGCTGCATTATTGCTAGATGACTATTTGATCTTCTTACTGAAGTTGCTGAATGGTGTTGTTCCTACAGTCAGTCTGATAATATGATTTCTAACTTTGTGTCGGGTGGTTAAGTTGACGTCTTTTCTCATGCATCTCATTTTATTGGTTTAATCGAAATTTTTACATTGTTCTAGCAGATGGGAAAGCATCACTTCAGAGGTTCCGAGTAGTTAGCATCCTTAGGATATTTTCTCCAGATTATGTCAGTGTGTTGGAAAATGAGCAGGCGGATAGACTGGCTGGCTCTGCGCAACTGGGTGGTTAACTAATGTATGACAAGTTAGATATTGTGAGAGCCTTTGGGGGCGAGTAAACTGTGCGGCGGCGCAGATCGAAAATTACGGTCTAAGGTGAATGGCGCTGCGAGGAGTTTTCAAGGGATCTGGCCGACGCTCAACACTCATAGGAAGGATGAGACGGATATACAATCAGACGGTTACTGGTACCATCGGAACTGGAACTCTTCGCTTGCTGTTGAAGATGGGGACTTATGGGAGTGTCCCGATTGCTGTGATGTCGATTTTAATTCACCATCCAAAACATTAAATTTGAACAAAGAAGACACGAACAACTGAATAATTTATTGCCTGGCATATTTCGCTGTATCTCGTCAGGTGCATATTACAGTTACAATAACATAAATGAAGCAAATAAGTGAAACCTTTATAACTGAAGTTGAATTAAATGTGAAATTTGAAATTTAAGTTAAAAGTTACAAATGAAAACAAATAACATGTAATAATTCTGACTGTGCGCGTGTTTCAATATCCATCAAAGTTGAAACAGCAGATAATGAAAAACGAGTAGCAGCAATAAAATGCATAATCTGCTTAATTCACCACCGATTACTGGCACCATGTGGGTTTATAGACTCCGCAATTAGGAAAACTTGTGACAGGGATCTCAGCCCCACCTCCACCACACCTCCTCACAGCCTATGCAAACGATGGATCATCATTAGCACATGCCCTGCCAACTGGCGTAGGCGCTCATGAGTATCCACAGATCACGATCCTTGGTTGACTGGAACAGCTTTCTTGATGATATCCCTCCATGCCATCGTTTCAGCCCATCCAGCATCGTCTCTCTTGGTCTGCTTCTACCCCTTTTCCCACTGATCTTTCCAGTTGTCACAATGTTCTCCAATGTCTCTCTTTTCATTATGTGGCAAATGGACAGTGTTTGTCTCTTCCATATTGTTGTATATAGAGATCTACTTTCATTACTTAGACGTGCAGTTTTGGATTTTCCCTTTCATCAAATTTGAGACTAGGATGGCATTTCTTAAAGTTTAAGTTAAACTCTCTATGTAAAACACTGGATGAGTACAAATTAAGTAAGATAACAACCACGCTCCACTCCCCACCTTACAGATTTTCTAGACAACTGATTGGGTAGGAATGTGGGGGGGGGGGGGGGGGGGTCCTTAGGTGAAAGAAATAAGTGAAAGAACACGGGGGGGGGGGGGGGGATGGGGTCTGAGGCCCGCTTTAATTATGTCTTTTTTTTTCTTTACGTTCTCTGGCTGTAAACTCCGGCAGAAAGTTCTGTTTATTTATCCACTTTTGGGCTTCTGTCTTGTCCTAGAAATTGTTTTCTGCCTATACATCTATTTAAACATATGTAGCTCGTTTGTATGCAGACTGTTGGTTCCTTACATCTCAGGCAGATGCATTCCGATTTCGAAGGGGCACCTAATTAGTTGACTCTTACGACATGTTTATTGGGGAAGTGGTGGGTCTATCCCCAACCCCCCCCCCTCCACACACAGGGAATCCATGTACATAAATCGTCTGTTAAAAATAGTTGAATATTCCATATTATTCCAAGGGGTAGGTTTAAAAAAATATTTTTTAAGTAAGGGGGGGGGGGGGGGGGGCGCATAGACGGAAGATTTCAGGCACGACAGTATAATTAAGCTGATATTATAGTTCAGTGGTTCTCAACCTTCCTAATGCCGTGACCCTTTAATACAGTTCCTCATGTTGTGGCGAACCGCAACCATACAATAATTTTCGTTGCTACTTTATAACTTCTATGAATATAAGTTTACTGATGGTCTTATGCGACCCATGTGAAAGGTCGTTAGACCCCCCCCCCCCCCCCCAAAAAAAAAAAAAAAAGATTTATGCGGCAAGGGGCTTATAACTTTTGCCTTACGCCCTAAACGTTTGAGTTCTTTGGGGTACTACTTCATTCGACTCATAAGGGAAATTTTCACGGAGATCTCTTGGAGAATGCCGATAGATCTAAACAACACAGACTATGTTGTTAGAAACAGCTAGCCATTATAAGGAGAGAGGCCCAGTAATATGGGATAAAACCCGATCTAATTATATGCAGTCTTGCAATATTACACTTCTTGGCTCTCCTGTCAAATCCGGACGAAGAATAAACAGCCGTGGACGAGTTAGTCAGAGTTCTCTCCCTTGGCCGCACTCCGAACAGTAATCGGAAAACAAACGAAATAAACGACACACTTACCTATCATCCTGCGGTTGCGTGTAGGGCTGCGTACGGTTTCGTGAGGCATTGTGAATGGTTGTGTAGTCATCATCATGCGGTTGTTGGGTTAGAGTTATCATCATGCGGTTGTTGGGTTAGAGTTAGGGTTAGGGGTAGGGTTAGGGGTAGGGTTAGGGTTAGGGTTAGGGGTAGGGTTAGGGTTAGGGTTAGGGGTAGGGTTAGGGTTAGGGGTAGGGTTAGGGGTAGGGTTAGGTTTAGGGGCAGGGTTAGGGGTAGGGTTAGGGTTAGGGTTAGATGTGAAAATTTTGACGTAGGATTTGGAAATACTGGCCGACAATATGATGTTTGTGGGAATGGCGCCACTGAAACTCTGCCAAATATGACGCCAATAGCGTGCGACTGGTGCCCCCAATCGTTGGCGAATTGTGCGTTTGACCAGCATCCAGAGGCCCTCGATTGTTTGTGTGTGTGTATGGGACTGTGCGCGATTATAGGGAGCTCCGGCGTCAAAATTGTCAAATCTAACGATAAACCTAACCCTACCGCTAACCCTAATCCTACTCCCTAACCCTGACCCCTACCCCCTAACCACGCAAATCTATCGATCATTAAAGCATATAATTCGGCAAACGCCAACAAACAAAACACACCCCAAAAAAAAAAACCACCCAGAATTGCCCTGCAGCGTCGAAAAAAACCCGGATCTGGGGGAAACAACCAAGCAATGGCAGCCCTGATGTCGACGTGACTGTCTTCTTTGTTTCGTTGTGGCTTTTCCGATCACTGTTTGGAGTGCGGCCAAGGGAGAGAACTCTGACTAAGTCGTCCAAGGCTGTTTATTCTTCGTCCGGATTTGACAGGAGTACCCACTTCTTAAACGATTTAACTGACTTATAAACCAAAATCCAAGGGGATTGTAGCTGGATCACGGAATTCGTGTTTTGTGGTACGCTCTCGGCAGGCGGCTATCTGTTCTACGGGTATAAAACTCGGCACAATGATGTCGATCTTGTTGACTTTAGCTCTCCTCACAGTTGCCTTTGATCACACTTAAATCGGCAGTAGACATGTTGTATTGTTTACAGCTAGGCTGCGATATCTGCTCCTTTCGACCTAACACATCTGATTTAATCTAATCCTAAATTAGGGATCCTTTATGTGATGCTTTTTAATTTGGCATTGGGTCTATCTACCCTTTTTTTTTCAACTTCATAAACTGTAATCTAATTTTCACTTCGACTTTCGTTAAATACTTGTTTTTGAGTAGTAATTTTATACCAACTATCCAAAGTTGAAATTGGGACTTCCGGCGGATGCATGGGCGAAGTATAAACAAAGCGGGTTATAGACTTGTCGCCATCTACCTGTGTTTTCGGCGGTTTTAGATGCGAAAGACTGTTGCTGTCATTAGCATTATGTCAAATCACACAAATTCTCCTCGTCGTTTAAACGATTTTGATGGCGCTGATAGCTCGGATGCTGAAAATGAGAAAGAAGCGGATACAATCCGTGGTTCAGATGAAGGTAAATAAAATATTAATAACATTACTTACATAACTATCTGTATACTTAGCTATAGCAAATTAATAAAATTACTTTAAAAATATTTTATTATTATAAATTACACAACGCAGCATTGTAACATTGTTTTTGGCTAGTTAATGCTTGTAGTATTACGTTGTTTACCACAGTTTTTAATAATCTATTACATTCAAAATTGGCTCTACTGGCAAATTTGGCTGGTAAGCTGGACTGCCTCGGCCGGCTTAGCGGGGCTTAGTGGGAGTTATGTCCCTTCGCCAAACTCAAAACAGGTCGCGGAAAAAGTCACGAATCAAATGACATACTTACCTATCATCATCCGGGTGCCTGTAGGGTTGCGTCTAGGGTTACCTATCATCATACGGTTGTGCGTAGGGTGTCTATCATCATCATAGGGTTGCGTGTAGGGATGCATAGGGTGTCTATCATCATCATCATACGGTGTTGTGTAGGGTTTGGGTTAGCGGTAGGGTTAGGGGTGTGGGTTAGGGGAGGGTTAGGGGTAGGGTTAGATGATGTGAAAATATTCACGTACGAGGTGGAAATACTGGCAGACAATCTGATGCTTGTGGGAGTGGCGCCACTGGAAGTGTGCCAAATATGACGGCAATAGCGCGCGGCTGGTGCCCAATCGGTGGCGAATTGTCTGTGTCAGTAGCATCCACCGTCTGTCGACTGTTTGCGCGTGCATGCGACTGTGCGCGATTGTAGGGAATTACGGCGTCACAATTGTCACATCTAACGCTACACCTAACCCTAACCCCTAAACGCTAACCCTACCCTTCATCTATCTTACGCAAACAACCAACCCTACACGCAATAAGCAGCCCTACGCGCAACCGTAGAACGATGATAGACACCCTACGCAACCCTACACGCACCCGGATGATGATAGGTAAGTATGCCGTTTGATTCGTGACTTTTTCCACGACTTGTTTTGAGTTGTTTTGAGTTTGGCCAAGGGACATAACTTCCACTAAGCCCCGCTAAGCCGGCCGAAGCAGTCCAGCTTACCGGCCAAATTTGCCAGTAGAGCCAAAATTTTGCACTACTGCGAACGGCGATGCTAAGCTGAGGGACACAATCATTGTATAGGTTCACATAATAATCATCGGTAATATTTAATGTTGCTTCAGGCTGGCGTTAGTGTTTCGTTTAGTGTGTAGATTAGAGTTAGTGTATGGATTAAGGTTAGGCGATTTTTTGTGTGGGGTTAGTGCTAAGGCAAGGCCTCCTTACTTCCTGTAGCTTTTTATTCTACCAGTGGTCTCGGCTTTGTTTTAGGGTTAGTGTGTGGATTAGAGAGCCCTGTCTCTCATCCTAACCCTAATCCTTATTTCAAACAGTAATAAATATTAAGGAATATTATTATGTGACCTTATACAAGTATTAGGTTGCAGTAGATTGTGTCCCTTAGGGTCACGTTTCAAAGTAGTCCCTAAAATGTATTCAGAAAATCTGCAACTAATCCAGATTTGATAGTGTAGACCAGCAGTTCTAAACAAGCATAGACCCACTGCCTCCCCAACAAGCATGTCACAAGAGTTGACAACCTGGGAGCTTCCTTCAAAGTCAGAGTGCATTTGTTGTATATAGAGATCTACTTTCATTACTTAGACGTGCAGTTTTGGATTTTCCCTTTCATGAAATTTGAGACCAGGATGGCATTTCTTAAACTCTCTAGGTAAAACACTGGATGAGTACAAATTAAGTAAGATAACAACCACGCTCCACTCACCACCTTACAGAATTAGGAACCAATAATCTGCATACAAATAACCTAGATCTGTAAAATTGATGTGCACACAGCACTCAAGTTCTGGAACAAGACTCAAGCCCAGATTTGGATAAACAACCAGAGCTTTCTGCTGAAGTTTACAGCCATGGAGTCGTTTATCTACTTAGGCAATAATGTAAAAAAGATGGGGGAACTGATAGAGATATTAAAATACAAATACAAAAAAGCAAGAGGAGCTTTTATGGCACTAGGACATTTGTGGAGGTCAAAAGAAATTAAAACTATTACTAAACTAACATTTTTTAATTCTGATGTCAATTCCGTACTGTTGAATGGAGCAGAGACATAGAGAACAACTAAGGCAATTAATAATAAACTACAAACATTCATTAACTGGTGCCTAAAATGGGTGCCAGGATGTACGTCTTGGGGAAGTAAAGACGGCCGGGGTAATGCTGACCACATTACCTGCCTAGTGCCTATTGGTCTGTAAAAATATGGGTACTCTTCCCATATGTCTGATGCGCCTAAAGGCGTGAAAAGGGGATCTTTACTTTTTATATAAGCAGAGAATCCGGCCTCACAGAGATTTGTAGCTGAGAAAGCAGTACTAAGTTTGCTTTCTCAGACAAGATTTTTTGAATTCATCTTGTTAATGCAGCCAAAACTCTAAGGAAACTTTGGTTTTGAAAGACGCAGAAAACTCAGGAGATAATCGCTAAAAAAAAAATCACAGTGTAATCACTGGGAAAATTCACAGTGAAGTGATTATATCAACTAGTCAGCTTTTATTGATATGTTTTGAAAAAATTCCAGGCATTCTCTTAGCACTGAGAATGAGCAAGAAATTATTTTTATGCACAGTGTCAGTTAAGTCCCTTGGATATTCAGTTCCAAGAAAGGAACAGGACATACAGTGTGAGGCAGACACCAACGGAGCATGACATACAGTGTGAGGCTGACACCAAGGGAGCATGACATAAAGTGTGAGGCAGACACCAACGGAGCATGACATACAGTGTGAGGCTGACACCAAGGGAGCATGACATAAAGTGTGAGGCAGACACCAACGGAGCATGACATACAGTGTGAGGCTGACACCAAGGGAGCGTGACATACAGTGTGAGGCAGACACCAAGGGAGCATGACATACAGTGTGAGGCTGACACCAAGGGAGCGTGACATACAGTGTGAGGCAGACACCAACGGAGCATGACATACAGTGTGAGGCTGACACCAAGGGAGCGTGACATACAGTGTGAGGCAGACACCAAGGGAGCGTGATATACAGTGTGAGGCAGACACCAAGGGAGCGTGACATACAGTGTGAGGCAGACACCAAGGGAGCGTGACATACAGTGTGAGGCAGACACCAAGGGAGCGTGATATACAGTGTGAGGCAGACACCAAGGGAGCGTGACATACAGTGTGAGGCTGACTACAAGGGAGCATGGCATACAGTGTGAGGCAGACACCAAGGGAGCGTGACATACACTGTGAGGCTGACACCAGGGGAGCGTGACATACAGGGTGAGGCAGACACCAAGGGAGCGTGACATACAGTGTGAGGCTGACACCAAGGGAGCGTGACATACAGTGTGAGGCTGACACCAAGGGAGCATGGCATACAGTGTGAGGCAGACACCAAGGGAGCGTGATATACACTGTGAGGCTGACACCAAGGGAGCGTGACATACAGTGTGAGGCTGACACCAAGGGTAGTGACATACAGTGTGAGGCTGACACCAAGGGTAGTGACATACAGTGTGAAGCTGACACCAAGGGTAGTGACATACAGTGTGAGGCTGACACCAAGGGTAGTGACATACAGTGTGAGGCTGACACCAAGGGTAGTGACATACAGTGTGAAGCTGACACCAAGGGAACATGACATACAGTGTGAGGCTGACACACCAAGGGAACGTGACATACAGTGTGAGGCTGACACACCAAGGAAACGTGACATACAGTATGAGGCTGACACCAAAGGAGCGTGACATACAGTGTGAGGCTGACACCAAGGGAACATGACATACAGTGTGAGGCTGACACCAAAGGAACCTGACATACAGTGTGAGGCTGACACCAAGGGAGCGTGACATACAGTGTGAGGCTGACACACCAAGGGAACGTGACATACAGTGTGAGGCTGACACCAAGGGAGCGTGACATACAGTGTGAGACTGACACCAAGTGTGCGTGACATACAGTGTGAGGCTGACACACCAAGGGAACGTGACATACAGTGTGAGGCTGTCACTAAGGGAGCGTGACATACAGTGTGAGGCTGACACCAAGGGAGCGTGACATACAGTGTGAGGTTGACACCAAGGGAGCGTGACATACAGTGTGAGGTTGACACCAAAGGAGCGTGACATACAGTGTGAAGCTGACACCAAGGGAGCGTGACATACAGTGTGACTCAGACACCAAGGGAGCGTGACATACAGTGCGAGGCTGACACCAAGGGAGCGAGACATACAGTGTGAGGCTGTCACTAAGGGATCGGACATACAGTGTGAGACAGACACCAAGGGAGCGTGACATACAGTGCGAGGCTGACACCAAGGGAGCGAGACATACAGTGTGAGGCTGTCACTAAGGGATCGGACATACAGTGTGAGACAGACACCAAGGAAGCGTGACATACAGTGTAAGGCTGTCACCATGGGAACGTGACATACAGTGTGAGGCAGACACAGTTTTGTTGTCTGTCAATAATTTTAAAGCTAGTGGAAGCATATTCCACATTTTGTTTCCCAATCTTTAACACAAACTCTTGACTTCTGTCCCTTGGAATACGTGTTAATGAGGTTTTACTGTAATGTCAGAGATATCAGATCACTTTAAATATTCTCATAATAAAATAGGTAACAGAATATATGTATGTATGTAAGTTGTACCCCACCAGGACATCACACAAGTGATAAACACCTGGTGACACAAGGTACCACCATGCGGGTCAGGATCACTTGTGGATAGGTCCCGGAAACCCTGTTAGGCCATATTTCATGCCTGACTATATTTAGGACTCCCGGCAAAAAACCAGGGTGGGGCTTTGAAATAAACTAAAAGTTGCATTCCCCCAAGGGGATGACGAGTTATGTGATGACAAAATTTATTATTAAAGTACACTTGTAATATATTACACATTACATACAGAATCTGTTATAATTAACAATTAATCTGTGCATGATTTAATTGCTGTAAATACTAGACAAACATAGCATCCGTCATGGTGTGGCGGTTAGACACTCGCCTGTGGATCCAGTGATCTTGGGTTAAAATCCAAACATTCTCGACTTTGAAAAAAAACTGACCTTGGCTCCCAGATCGACTCAGCCTTGAATGGGTACCAGGTAAAGTCCTGGTAAGTAAAGGTGGTTGGTGTGATGTTGACGACATCACCCACCTAGTGCTGATTAGTCTATAAAATATAGGAATATGCCCAGTATGCCTGAATGCACGGAAAAGGGTCCTTCACTTTTACTAGACAAACTAATGAAGGGGCTGCGTGGTCTCGAGGCATGGTGTCAGCTTCGAGTGCTAGAGGTTCCGGGTTCAATCCCTGGTAAGGGCTGGGATTTTTTCATGCAGACTTGGATTTCTAGTAAATCTCCTTTGGTCTCTGGGTAGTGAGACCGGACGCCCCTGTGTATTGTTGCACACATTAAAAAAAAATTCCTTGGCAGTTGGAAATCGAAAAGAGTAGCCTAACGGTGCTGCCCGGGCAAAATTTTGTGTTAAAAATCTACCCAAAGTATTTCAGGATCCTTGCCGGTGCTACAGAGCCTGTGCATGTGCTGAGCTTCTTTGGACTCAGACTTGAGTTAGAAGAAGAACAGAGCACTTATGGCTTACTACCCATGCACCGTAATGTTGATCCATTGTTCAGAACTTCAAACTAGTAGTCTTCTTTTTCTTCTTCGCGTTCACCAGCTGTACACTCTGGCGGAAGGTTCTGGTTGCTCGTCCACTACTGAACTGCAGTCCTGCTCCAGAACCTGAGTGTTGCTTGTGCATCAGTTTTACAGATCTCATTCTCTTGAATACAGACTTTTGGTTCCTTGCCTCTCCGGCAGATGCACTCCGACTTTAAAGGAAGCTCCCCAATTAGTCGACTCTTACGACATGCTTTTGGGGAGGCAGTGGGTCTATTCTAGTTTTCCCCACAAGGGGGTAAAACTAGTAGTCAAACATAATATAATACCAGTAAAGACAAAAACTTTGTATATCCCAGTTAAAACCCTGAAGGTTTAAACAAGGTATTGATTAAATTACGACTACCATATTTACCTGAGAGTCGCCATGGTTTAGCAGCTAGATGCTTGTCTGCGGATGGGAAGATCATGAGTTCGGGTCCTGGTGGAGCTAGACTTTTTTTTTTTAAATGACCTTGACTCCGAGGTCGATCTAGTCTTGGGTTAGTACAAAGTAAAAGCACTGGGAAGTAAAGGCAGCCGGTGTGATGCTGACCACATCACCCACCAAGTTCGGATTGGTGTGTAAAATATAGGTCCTGCCCAATGTGCCTTAAGGCACGGAAAAGGGTCCTTTGCTTTTTACTTTACATACTACATATACCTATGTGAATTGCATTATTGAAGCATAGCTGACCGAAAGGTTAGAATGCTGGGCTGTCATAATTAAGATCTAGTTTCGTTCCTTGGTATGGAAGGTAGATTTTTTTTGTAGGGGCCAAAGTAAAATCCTAACCTCAACAGTTTAGTGTGACAGCACTAGCCCTGCAGTTGTAAAACCTCCGACTTACAACCCCCTGGCCTCCACCACCAGTTGGTAAATACAGACAGTAAAGCACATTTTTTCTCGGTTTGCCAGATACTGCAGATGCTAGTGAAACAGAAGAGAAGCCAAAAACCATTAACAACACTTTGACACCCACTACCGGACAAAGAACAGAAATGAAAGAGCAGTAAGTAATTGTAATTCTTTAGCACATCAATGTCATCAAACAGAAGGCTCTCTAATCATAGAAAGTCTTTCTTTCTCTGGCCAATTCTCCAGCCCTATGTGCTTTCATAGCCTGCATCTTCAATGTCTTGCATCCACCTTCGCGGAGGCCAGCCTCTGCCTCATTTTCTGGAAACTGGCTTAGTCATAGCAAACGCACTTCGTAATTCCTTTCCGCCGGGCTCGATCCTACCTGCGGGAGATTTAGCAGCAGATCGCCTTGCCTTGGTTTCAACAATGTTATTGATAGCTAACTGTTCAGAAAGCAATGGCAAACATAACATTGCCTAGTGAAATTACAAGCAGCCAAAAATTTCTGAAGCCGGTACTGCAACATCCTGTAAAGAAAACACAACTAGCAGAGGAGTTCTTATTCTCTTCTCCCTATCACACATACACACACACCCACATGGGGAGTTGATTTTCTTCTGCTTTTATTTGCTTGAAATAAATTATCTATAGCTGCACTTTTGTCTCTAGTGTGAACTTCAGGGTCTTTTGTAATTCACTCAGCGACCTGTAAAGTTTGACTTGCACCGATGTTTCTCTTGGCCAAAAGTTTTGCCTTGATGTGGTAGTTGATTTGATTTTGTGGCTATTTTGTTCTTTGAATATCTAGGCTGTATAATAAATAGCAATGAAGACTGTTTGATAGACATCAACATTAGGATGGCCATAACAATGCAAAGATTAAACAGCATCAGAATTAAAATTTTGAGAGCATGCATCTTCTCTGTAGCAACATACGGATGTGAGTGGTGGACTATCTCACAGTCTTTAAGAAAGAAAATAAGGGCCTTTGAGCTGAAAATGCTATAGAAAGATTCTCAGAATATCATAGACACAGAAGAGAAGGAATATTGACATTTTGAAAGATCTGAAAATCAGGGATGATTGGCTAAAAAACAGCATCTTGTCTCGGAAGCTGAGATATTTTTGTCGTATCAAGCACAATGATGGATTGGAGAAAATAATATCAGAAGGCATGGGACAGGGCCGACCAACACGAAAATGGGCACAGGATATAAGTGACTCCTTTAATATGAAAGTACACGAGGTGGAAGAGCTGGCGAGAGACTGAGTTTCTTTCAGGCAGACCGTGATGAGAGCTTTCTTATGCAAAGGACCTGCTACATAATGATGATGATGAGTGTTTTATGGGATGAGGAAATCAGTCTGGTGTCAACCCTACATGGTTGTCTCTTAGGACATGAATGGTTGATTGCTGTTCTTTGCTTCCTTAATGAGCTTCAGTAACACATGGATGAGTAGGAAGAATAATCCATATCTTTCTTCTTGGCAATCACTGTACAATCAGACAGTTACTGATACCATTGGAATTGTAACTCTTCGCTTACTGCTGAAGATGGGGACGGAGCGCTTATGGGGGTATCCCGAGTGCTGTGATTTCGATTCTTAATTCAACATTCAACTTGAACCTACTTGCAGGTGCTTTGCTATTCATTTTCGGCTTCCATTTAGAGTTTTTAGGGATATATAATGTGGTAGTCTCCCCTCGCTTTCCACATACACATGTCTCAGCATTTCAGCCTATGGCAGTGATTTCTAAACTGTGGGCCATGGCGTGTCAGGGAACTGTGACCTTTTCACAGGGGCACAGCAAAATACTGTAAAAGCTTCATAATTAATTTAACCAAGACATGAATAGTCATACTTTTACTTAGGTTAGGGTGCCAAGGAAAGATTTTAATTTAAAAAAAGGCGCCACAACCAAAAAATGTTTGGGAAACACTGGCCTGCTGCAATCTTTTACATTGCCAGGGTGAGTGAGTAACCTGCTCAGGTTTGTAGTGTATTAAAAATTGCTTTAGTCAAGTTCTGTGTTTCTGCTTCATAACTGACAGTGATGAACTGTGGTGTTTCTCTTGGCAGGATGTACCAGGACAAGTTAGCACACATCAAGAAACAGATTGACATGCTACAGGAGGGCTCCCTGCCGGAGTTTCTGAAGAGAACCAAGAAAATTGAGCTCCAGTACAGGGAGAGGCTTCGGCAAAATGAGATCAATAAAACAGTGGAGGTTAGTCCTGTGAGACAGGGTGTAGCTGGTAATCTGGTAATCTTAGTTTCACATTCATGGCAAATGGGTCAACCCATAGGTGATCCGCTCCTGTGCCAACGTAAAACACACAGCATGTTTATTACAGTCCCTTGTGGAAAGATTGATAGACTGCTGTCTTAGCATATGCACTAGCATACCCACGCATTAAAAACAGGCGGTAGCCATCTGAAGTGCTAACACAAACAGTCCGACATTAGAAATGCAGTACATCATGGATGGTAGCAGAAGTCACCAACAGATCAGCAGTTGCACACGCGATCAATTTTAATCACACAGTGGCACCACCAATATTGCGACGTCAGGCATCGCGCCATTTTCAGAATCCACAATTCACACCACCACATTGGTCACAGTCGAAAAACATTCCAAATGAAATCCGCAGCTCACAGTGTCACGCCATGCACTCAGTTCAGAAGCTGGGCGATGAAACTATATCCTTTCAGTCTACAAATGGAGCAAAAGTGCAATGGCCACCGTCTGGCAGAAGCAAAAAATTTGCCGCTGCTCAAAACCGTGACTGTGCCAAGCGCCCATTTTGACCGGAAGTCCAGGGTGTAGCTGCTACAAGTTATAACAGTCAGTGAACAAGCTGTTGGAACATTGTACTGAGTCTCCGATGATGTGGATGTACAGAAGAATAGGTGACCCACTGCCTGCCCAACAAGCATGTCATAAGAGTCTACTAATTGGAAGTGATCTTCGAAAGACAGAGTACATCTGCCTGAGAGGAAAGGATCCAACAGTCTGCTTGAAAATGAGTCACACCTGTGAAACGGATGTGTACACAACACTCAGTTTCTGGAACAGGACTAGATTTCAAAAGTGGACAAACAACCAAAATTTTCCACCTGAGTAACTGCAGGTAAACTCGAAAAAGAAGGAGAAGAATAGGTCATATTTCGTGGAAACAGAAACAATCAACTACAAAGGTTCTTAAAAGACTAGGAATGAAAACATGGATGCTTTAGGTCAAGGCTATTGACTAAGTTTACTCAGGGGTCGCCATTTTGAAAACGGTGACAGTCATGACCAGAGTGCTGGGCCCTAGCATAGAAAGATAATTAATAATGAGCATTGATCCGCAGGCCAGTTGCTAGGCCTCCGCGAGCCACCAGTTGAATATAGTCTAAGGGAGTTAAAGAAGAGAAAATCACATGTGTTGGACTCCCAGTGCAGGCTGAGGTTCCGTGGTTGTGGAAGAATAAGAATAGACCTACTACCCCCTCCCCAGTAAGGATCCTTTTCCACACCTTTGGATGTATTGGGCATATAGGGCTAGACCTATATTTTATAGAGCAGTCGGCACTTGGTCGTGATGTGGTCAGCATCATGCAAGCCATCTTTACTTCCCATGACTGTACCTGATACCCACTCAGCACTGGGTCGACCTGGGAGCCAAGGTAATTTTTGAACCCACAAAAGAATCATTAAAACGATCAGGAAACCACCAGCCCCAGTACAAGACGACTATTTTATTATGGACAGACCAGAACAAGTCATTATCCTCCGCCTCAGAACAGGGCACAACCGATTACGTAACCACATGTACACAAAATTCAAGATAGGTGTATTAGCCATGTGCACCTGTGGAAATGTGCCCCTGACAGCAGAGCATGTACTCCAGGCCTGCACTGATTTTGACACCTTAAGGCAAACCTTTTGGCCAGAAAGAACAACAGTGGAACGTAAACTCTACGGACCACTGAATGAACTAACAACGACAGTGAAATTTATACAAGAGACACAACTGCTGATATAGACAACTTATTTCAGGCGAACGAAAGAAAAAGAAGAAGAAAAACCCACAAACTTCAGATCTGCAGGTGAGTGTCTAGCCATTACACCACAGTGGCCAGCAAGGAGCCACTCTCCCCCATAAAGCATTTCATAGAAGTCAACTAATTAGGGGTGTTTCCTTCGAAGCTGGAGTGCGTCTGCCTGAGAGGTAAGGAATGAACAGTCTGCATACAAATAAGCCAGATTGGTAAAATGGGTATGCACGCAAAACTCAAGTTCTGGAGCAAGACTGAAGCCCAGAAATGAATGAAAAACTAGAACTTTCCACAGGAGTTTACAGCTTGTGAAGGCACAGAAGAAATATTTTGGTCATGTTAAACACATAACACTTTCATAAAAGTCAAGCCCGACTCGCTGGTTCAGCTGGTTAAAGACCTCTGCATGACGACTGGGTGACGAACTCCCTGTGGTCTGGGTTTATGTCCGGGGGTGGGTAGACAGAATAGCCACATTTCTCCCAGATTTACAGTATCTATAATTTAATCAAATCCAAAAGGTTGCGATATCAATAGTACCGAGCCAAAGGGTTCACAACTCATGGTTTCTGGATGCTGAAAAAAAAAAGTCATTTTGGAGGGAAAAGTTGAAGGCGAGTGAGCAAGAGGCAGATGGCGATACAAATGTGAGATTAACATCAAGATATGGATAGATGCAGTCTGAATATACAACCACGGTAAAAGACGACGCAATCTGGAGATATGTTGCTGTTATCTGTTTTAATTAACACAATCTGTGCAATATTGAATAACAAAATATAATTAGAAAAAATAAATAACTATAACAGATAAAGATGAACTTTCTGCTTCCGTTAAAAAAAAAAGGCAAGTTGTTTTTTTTTGGCAGTGGTGCATCTAAAAAAAAAAAAAAGTCATATTGGAGGAAAAAGTTGAAGACGAGTTAGCAAGAGGCAGGCGGCGATACAAATGGGGGAAAAAAGTAAAGAAAAGGTTGTTTTTTTTTTAATGCAAGTGGCACATCGGGCATTTTTAGCCAGACACATTTTATAGACCAGTGAAAACTTGATGAGTGAGTTCCTCAACATCATGCTCACCAGCTTTACTTTCCAGGGCCTTGCCTGGTACCCATTTTAGGCTGGACAATCTGAGCCAAGGTCTTTAAAAAAAATTGGATATGGTTTTGACACCAGGACCCTCAGTTCAGCAGGCAAACCTGTAACCACAAAGCTCCTTTGGCTCCCATTCATCATTGTAAAGTGCTTTCTCATCTGTTGTGGGCGGTCTTGCCTCTCCACAATCTGCCATCTTCAGCATACATGTGTCAGTTTATGTGTTGGCACCACTCCATGTCATGACAAAAGGCTGTCAAGAGTTGAGTGGAGTCAAGAATTGATATCACAGCACTTGGGGCATTCCCATGCATGCTTCATCTTCAGCAGCCAGCGCAGAGTTCCATTACTGATGGTACCTGTCATAATCTGGGTGTATATCTGTCTTGCCTTTCCTCTGAGTGTAGTGAGCTGGCCGGACCCTGTGGTTCCTCATTCTCTCCAGGCCATAATAATCTTCTATCTCTGCTAATGCCGTTGCTTGTTCCCAAAGGGTCTTGACCACATCTGCCTTGTCATGTATCAATTCACCATCCAGTGGTGCAGATCAAGGCGGTTGAGAATAGTCTTGCATTGTCTTCCTCTGGCTCTTTTTCCACAGATATTTCTAGTGGTCACAGCATGTTCCAGTTTCCTTCTCTTAAAGCATGACCAAAATAATGTTGGCTGTCTTATTCTGATGTAAGTGATACCTATTAACGCTATAAATGAAACCAAGGGAACAAGCGGGCAGACTATCTTGCTGACACTGCTGTTGCTATGACTGGTCTAGTACTGGACAGAAGTGATGTTATCAATGTCATACGCTGCACTTACCGTACCGAGGAGCACACCAAAGGGCATGACTTTGTATCCCTGTCTAGACTGATAAACATGGAGTGCAGTCTGGAGCTGGAAGAAATGAACATTTCACTAATGGGACAAGATGTTTCATTAACCAACACAGAACAGACGTCATCAGTCATTCATTTTACACTTGTGGAGCTTTTAAGGAGGAGATCAGAGCACCTATGGATCTGTCCAGAGTGCTGTGATGATAATCTTTTCTAATCACTAATCACTGAATGAAACTACCTTTCTTGTGTTTCCACTGAACTGTCAATTCTTCCACAGGTTGACAGAGCAGACAGGAACTTTGAAACTGATTGTAATAATGCCCAGAAAGAATTTGAGGTACGTGGATATAGGCATCGTAGCTCAGTTTTTGCTTGTAGCATTTTACTTGTACATTTTATGCATTGTTCACAGCATTTGTTTCACTGTCTTGTAGCTGGCTGCTCACAGTGTCTCTACTTACCCACTTACACTGGTGTTTGATGTATTGAGTATTGGTAACTTTTATCATCCACATATTTTTAGTCTTTTAATCCCTAGCTGGTGTTTTTTTTAACCCTTACTGTTCCAAGGAGTTCATATGAACCCTTTTGCCCCACAAATGCTAACAAAAATGGGTCTTAAACACAAGGGGATTTCCTGGGGGAAAAAATCAAGCATTTTTAGTCTTCTTGAAGCAACAGGGTTAAAAAGTAACAAATGCTTTTATCTGACAAAAGTTCAGTTAGAACACTATAGGGCAAAAGCAAGAGACACACCGGACATACAGAAAGACTAAATCAACAAAGAACTGGCACTATTAGTCACAAGATGCTTGGGTTCATACTGAGTGAAGGATCTAAGCACCTATGGACATGTCCGGAATGCAATGATCATATCCTAAATAACAAACTAAATTGCAAAGGTGATCAGACAAATAATTAGAAATCAAAGGGATAACATAACGATTGTCTGTGATAGAAGACCAAAAAAATAAAAACATAATTTCTTAAATGAAGTAGACATTTTTTAGGGTTGTTTGATACTGAATGAATAAATATACCTTGCAAATTAGTTGACACTTTGATTCTACAAAATATAACAGCTCTAGGATGTGGAGATACAATTTTTAGGCAGTAAATTAGACAAAAACAACGAGAGTAGACAAGACGAATAATAACCCAATCTCACTTAGTGAAACTTTTACTCCA